GTTCCATCTGGTGAAGTCCACATGTAGAGCTGCCATTTGTGTTGTTGAAAAAAGGTGTTTGCAATGAACAAGTCGTTGGTCTTGCAAAATTCTGCCCTACGAGTTCCAGCATTATTTCTGTCACCAAGGCCAAATTTTCCAACTACCGGTGATGATTCTTTGTTTCCAACTTTTGCATTCTAGTCACCAGTGATAATTAACACATCCTGATTGCATGTTCGGTCAATTTTAGACTGCAGAAGTTGAAAAAAATCTTCAATTTCCTCATCTTTGGCTTGGATGGTTGGTGCATAAATTTGAATAGTCATATTAGTGGGTCTTCCTTGTAGGCTTATGGATATTATCCTATCACTGATAGCACTGTACTTTAGGACATCTTGAAACATCCTTTGTGATGATAAATGTCAGGCCATTCCTCTTTAAACTGTCGTTCCTGGCATAGTAGATCATATGGCTGTCTGATTCAAAATGGCCAAAACCAGTCCATTTCAGCTAATGCCTAGGATATCAATCTTTATGCATTCCATTTCATTTTTGACAACTTCCAATTTTCCTAGATTCATACTTCATACATTCCATGTTGCGATGATTAATGGATGTCTGCAGCTGTTTCTCCTCAATTTGAGTGGTGCCACATCAGCAAATGGAGGCCTCAAAAGCTTTACCTTATCCATATAAGTAAGGCAGGGTTTACTCTGATGATGCAGGTCTTTCCCAGGCCTATTTTGAGAGCCTTCTAACCTAACCGGACTATTCATAAAGTTGTGCGGTAATGTATCAGACACTGTTTCTTTGCTATTCATAAGGTTTCCCCTGGCCAATTCTTTGAAAAGTGGACGGCCTCTTCCTTCTTCCCAGTTTGTCTCAGTCTGTAAGCTGGGCTGACACCTGTGCACCATGTGCATCCCGCTGGGTTTGAAACACCAGTGGCTCAGCCTCAAAACTCACATCAACATGTCACCACGGTAGGACAAACCGACAGACAAGTTTGTCTCCCTGTTTGAAACCTCTCCTACCACCCTTACCTGGGTCCCTGCGGCTGACTCCTTCTTTGCAGATGTGATTAATCTAAGGCTCCTGAAAGGGGAGATTAGCCTGGACAATCCAGCTGACTCCTGAATACAATCACAAGTGTCCTTATTAGATTTGGACAAAGGGAAATTTGATTCACACAGAAGAGGAGAAGGCAATGTGACCACGGAGGCAGAGATTGAAGTGATGTTGCCATAAAAACCAGAGATACCAGAAGCTAGAAGAGATGAATGATGGCTTATTAAATTTGAAGATTCTGTCAAAAACAAATTATGAGCAATAAACTGGTTAAGACTGATCTGTACCTTTCAAAGAGTGAATATTCTCCCCCAATGATCATACTTAACATGTGGCTATGTATGTTAATAGAAAAAAAATAAAAATTCTTGGAAGGCCTAGATAACTGGACAAGGGTCTAACAGAACAATGAATGACAGAATTCTCCCATATAACTGAAACTTGCCTATCTCTAGGTCTGGTTGCTTCCATCAGATCTGCTTGGGGAAATTTCAGAAGTATTACAGATCAGCACTTGCTGTTTATCTCCCATTCTTCCTCTTCTAATAGCAGTGCTTATAGTGGCCCTTCTATCCTTGTTCCCAGGAGCTCTGGTGGCACAGTGGTTAAAGCATTCAGCTGCTAAACAAAAGGTCAGCAGTTCCAACCCACCAGCATGGGAGAAAGATGAGGCAATCTGCTTCCATAAAGATTCACCACCTTAGAAACACTATGAAGTAGTTCTACCTTGTCATATAGGGTCACTATGAGTTGGAATCCAGTCAATGGCAGTGGATTTGGTTTTGGTTGGTCCTTATTCCACCACTGTACACTGCGGTGCACAAGTCGGAATGAAAGTAAGAAAAAGAAAATTGATGTGTGTGTAGGGCAGATAACATCTCAGAGAAGACAAATTTGCACTGATGAAGAGACTATTGGGCATGAAAACAAAGAACCTATGAAGCAGCTGCTACCATGGATTAGGGACCAAAATTCTAAAAAAGAGAACGTATTACTATGAGCATCTTTCCATAAGAACACACTTCCTTGAATGCAAGATGCCTTCTTTTCCACATTTTACTATTTCTTAAATTAAGTATGCCTTCAAGTCAACATTAAAAGGAATTTGCCAGGATCAAAGCAGAGAAGTTCTAGAAAAGCAGACACTGCACATGCCCAACTTAACCATAAGTTGTTGCTATTAGTTGCCACTGACACAGCTTTGACCTATGGCAATCCCACGTATAACAGAATGAAATGATGTCATCCCCATGACTGTTGGTATGTTTGTGTCCACTACTGCTGCTTATAATGTCAATACCTCTCAGTGAGAATTTCCCTCACCCTCACTGGCCTTCCACTTTATTATTTCAGTCCCTTCTTAATGATGTGTCTAAAGAAAGCAAGTCAAAATCTAGGACAGTATTTCATGATCCACAGAGTTTTCATGGGCTAATTTTCAGAAAGAGATCACCAGGCCTTTCTTCTTTGTCTTAGTCTGAAAACTCCACTGAAACCTGACCACTATGGGTAACTCTGCTGGTACGTGAAATACTAGTGGCAAGCTTCCAGCATCATAGTCACATGCAAGCCACAATACGATGTACTGACAAACGGGAGGTATTAACCTTGTAACCTCAACTGTATTCTTTTGGTAGCATCAAACATGGTTAGATCTGGATCTCTGATTCAATATATCTTCAAAAGATTCTCCTATGATGTAGCACTGTATATTCAAGAAATTGTCACTTAAAAGACAATGCAAATTGTGGTAAACTGTGGTCAATGACATGAGACAAAGTATATGTGAACTACTGTATGAAAAGTGAATTTGCTCTGTAAATCTTCACCCAAATCACAATAAATAATAATAATAAAAAAGACAAAGCAATTACAGGCATAAAGTGCAAAACTGTGGTGAGATCACAGGATTTTCAAGGGTAAAAGAGACTCTCATAAAAGAACAAGCACTCAGATACCAAACAATGACTAAATAACTGTTGAGGGCTACAGAAATTCTCCAATAATCTAAATATAACATCCAGAATGATAACTAAGTATTGTGGTTACCTAGTGCTGCTCTGACAAGAAATATACCACAAATGGGATGGCCTTAACAAACAGGAGTTTACTGTTACAATTCGGAGGCTTTAAGTCCAAGTTCAAAGTGCCAGGCTCTAGGGACTGGGTGAAAGCCCCTCAACCTTGGGGTCCAGCTCCACCTCCTGCTCCCGGCCCACTGAAGTTGGAAGCATTTCTTCACTCAGACAGCCGCTGGCTGCTGAGGCTGAGAAGCACCAAGGTTGACAAGTAAAAAGGCACAGTCCCGACCAAACTACACGGCAAGCCATTAACTTAAGTCCATTTTAAGTCCCAAGGTCGGCAGAGCATGGCAGGCTGCTGAGCAACGGCACGGCTACATGCAGGGTCCAAGCATGTCATAGGCTAGAGAACATTCTCAAAGCTTCTCCTTCTATACAGGAAGCAGACCACATACCCAAAGGCAGCTACCCAGCTGCTTGTGGTAGATCCTGCCATGGAGTTGATTGCCAGTCTCCTCATGGGGATTAACTACCACCAGCTGCCCAGCCACTCAACCAGGCCCAGCCAAGGTGACACACAAACCGAACTACCACACTAAGTAACCACTATTTTTCCAAGAATATATTTACATACAGTAACAAGGACTTGACTTAAAAACAAAAAGTTTACAACTTAACACAGAGAATGAAATCCTGCTACCATACCAAAATATGCAGAACTAGTTTTTCACCTGCTTTTAGAGTGGCAAGCACAGTCAATCAATATTCAGGCATAGAAAGAATGTGCCTTCTCCACCATGTGCCATGATCTAGTTTCCTGCAGTAGCTGCCCATCAAAGGAACACAATACTACCTCTCTAACTGTTAAACCAGTCAAATTCCTCCAATGCCTTAGGGAATCAACTAGCCTATTTTACCTGTCAACTTATTAAAGGAAAGAAATTGCATTGCTTAAGCTACCTTAGCAAAGAATATTCATTCCAATTATTCATTCCAATTATAATATCCCACCTCTTCCTCCTCCTGGAGGAAAACTGATAATAAATTTTAATCTTGGTAAATAATCCATCAAGGCCTAACAAGCTTCAAGATCCTGAGCAACCAAATCCATTTCCAAGCTGGAATGATACAATATGATTTTTTTGTGTGTGAGAATATCCTTCTCACTGGACGTATAACTAACTTCTAGACAGAGATAAATATTTTAAAGTCACATTAAAACATCAGGTAGGCAAACATTAATCTTTTCTTTAGATCGTGACTTGCAACTGGAGAAGGCAGAGAAAAGGCTTCAACCAAATCACCTGAGAGTCATTCTTTGAGCTACAAGTTTTCTTTGAAGTTAATATGCAATGTTTTCTTTTCTTTCATTTTCCGTATTTACGTACGTTCTCCTCGTTCAAAAAGACAGCTCCATCTCTCTCACTACTCCCAACTGCGAGCAGTAACCTTACAGTGGACTGGAAATACTGATTCCCAGATTTCTTCAATGTGTACACAAATCCGGTCTGGGGCCCAACAAACTGCAGCTCTTTTACATCTAGTTTCCGTCGGAGCCACCTATCGCTTTCCTTCTCTTCCAGAAACTGCGGACTTGCCTGTCGGGGGTGAGGCGGCCAGGAGACAGTCCGCGTTAAGGCCGCGAGCGAGTCTGACTCTTCCAAGTCAAACCTGCACCTCAGAGGCCGAAAAGCCTGGGGCACTTCCTTCCGTGCCGGGCGGGGCCGACACTCGGTTCCCCAGGGCAGGGCTCAGCTCAGGTCCACGTTTCCAGCCAAGACAGGCCGGGCCCAGCCCAGCGCGCCAGTCTGCAGCAGCCCATGGACCCCCGCCAGCGGGGATGGGCGTGGGCCCCAGCGGCCACCGCCCGCCAACTCAGGCTCGCGAGGAGAAAGTGGGCCCCACCCGTTACGCCCGCCGCGGACCTACCTGCAGGGGAGAGCGGGGCTCCTGGACTGCGGTCACGGGCCCGAGAAGGGGCGCCGAGGCGGCCTGGGCCCGTCCCAGAGACCCCCACGTATCCCAGGCGGAGCAGGGAGAGGCGCTAAGGGGCTGACGTGGGCCAGGGCGGCCCGTCGCGGGGGTCGCGGGGACCTGGGTTCCCCCTTAGCACCAGGACACCGCCGCCGCCGCCATTTTGCCTTCCACTCCGTGTCGCCGCTGCTGCGCTCCGCGGCAGGTTTCCCGGATGTGGGCATTTCCCGGCGTCGCTTGCGCGGGGGCCGAGGACTGGGGGCTGCTTTTTTCCCGGCGGCCGGGAGCGAGCGCGCCACCTGAGGTCTCCCGCCCGCGGCAGACCCAGGTCGCGTCTGGGTATTGGTGAGCGCCGTCCGCGGCCCTCCCGCTCTTCGCTGCCCAGAGGACACTTGTCCCGTTAATGGAATCATGCTCTCCCACGCCCAAGCTCACTCTTTTATGTCAGACTCTTTTTCTCAGTTGAGCTCCTGCGTGGAACGGATATAGAAAAAAAATACGTTGTCTGCAGAACCTTAATTCTCAGTAGCGAACAGCGACGAATTACTCTCTGAAACCTCGCGGTGGACATCGGAGGATTTCTAGACGCTTTGAAGTAAAATTTGATGCTTTCCCTGAGTAAGTGCGTGAGCTTCAAGCTTATGTGCATTTTAGCAATAATCTTAATAATACATTTAAAGAACCAAGACAGAACAGTGACAGTGGTGAGTTTTATTTCCTGTTAAGTTGAATTGGACCTTTGGGATAGGATAATTGGTTTTCTGTGTTTGAAGGTATTGTCCCTCCTTTGTAAAGAAGCACTTTGCCAGTTCTGCTCTAGAAAATAAATACAATTAACATTTTTAAGTATTTTATCTCTCTTTGTTGATTACCACAGGTTTTTTTTTTTTTTTTAAAGACTTATTTTTATAATGTTATATGAATGACTGCCCAGTGTATCAGGCTTTGTTGAAAGAAAATACTGCGTTCCAAGAGAACTTCTAAACTGCAAGCTCCCTGAGGACAGGAATATCTGTAGTACCAGGTCCTGCCTGGCATGTGGTAGAACTTAAGTAAATGTTTAATGGAAACCTGAAATCGGTTTTAAATGGCCAAAAATTTTGTTCGTGGTTGTCACAACCTAAACATCAGTATCTACATTGTTGGTCTTGTTATTTGTCTTTGTGCAGATAGTTTTATTCCTGTTAACAGTAGCTTTTGTTGCTATTGTCAGAGCCTCAGTTTTTTCAAAGTGCGGGGTTCACCAGATCTTGACCTCATTGTCTTGTGTAGCTACCACCTCTTGCCGGCCCTCCATGCTTGGTTGTCTACCTCTCCCCTGTCCAGTGTTCTAGATTACTACTATTTCTGCCTGTCCTGCTTGAATAATCACTCTAATCATCTGCATGTTGCTCTCATAGCCACTGCTGTTCCTCTGACTTGCTGCTTTATGTCTGCATAGTAATTGTGATAGTTGAAGATCTGTCAACTTGGCTGGACTTCACTTGTGAGTGGTGGTTCTCATGATGGATCACATGACTGCGTCCTAAGCGGC